CTAAGAAGACTATAATATTCTTGCAAATGTGATATATAATCTTAATTTAAGACAAACTTTTTCCTTCTTGTGCTAGATCGAAATAGACAATAAGGCATAAAATATTGTCAAACTAGTTTATCTCGGTCAGAATATGTTTTCGGGACAGTTTTCGCATGAAACTATTCAGGCACATTGTTAAAACGTGTGCCGTCTCGAGCGAGTTAATTTGAAAGGGGACAACGGAATTTCGTCTAATGCTGGGAAACTCGAATACACCGTTGCGCGTCTGTTCGCCGTTAGATAACTAGGAATGCACGCACCGTGTGTGCAGTGTATGAAATATATAGATAGTACGTGCGTTATACTACGTGTACGTTGCCTATTGTCGGTGAATTCAGTATTGTGCCGTATAATATACAAAGAAAATTAAAGAAATTGTTAATTAGACAAGAAATTCACAAAAAAAAAATTATACATCCTTAAGCCGATTTGTATACAATACCATGCGACTGTTAAAAAATTAAAAATCTCAAAATATCATTAATGAAATTGCCACTTTCTTGTAATGTTACATAGTATATTGTCCATAAGTTCCACTTTGCCCTTGATTGTATATTATTTCGGCAAATACGAGATCTTAAAATGTGGAATCAAATATCAAACGTAATTCCTTATAATAGCTAACGGACAAAAATCATCATTTAAAATCATCATTTTCACAATTTATTCTTTTTAAGATCGTGACTGAATGATTTCAAAAAGCGCGCATCTCTGTCTCCTTTATAAATCACAATCGTGATTTATTCGAGGCAAAAATTTATGTACGGCAAATTGTCCGCACGACTCGGGCATAACGTTCCGTAATTCCGCGCGATATAATATACGTGTTGTCGCGCCAGTCGCGAACAGCACGATTGCGCCGCCATCCGTTCGCCGAATGGAACCGGGGAAGGAAGTGGAGGAGCCGGCGGGGTGGTGATGGAAGAGGAGGCAGGGGAGAAGGTAATGCATGGCAGAGCCCCGTGTCCCAGGTGATCTCGCGTGCATGAAGCTGCACCGCGCGCGTACGAACTGCGGTGCGGGCGACGTGCGCTTTTCGACTCGACGACTCGACGAACCAGGCCCGGTTAATTGACCGGACCGTATTTATCGCGGGCACAAAGCAGCCAGGACCGGAAATTGTCCGCGACATTGTTCTCGCGAATTATTCTCGCTCGCGGTCAAACTGCGCGCGAGATCATTATCGACATCATTGCTCCGCGTTTAATCGAACACAAACAACCTAAAACTCGTTTCTGAGAAGAGGACGAATTCATTAAACGTCGACTAAGTAATATTACGAGTTTGAGTTTGTATTACGCGATCGTAAAATAGATGTAACGTTTCCAGGTTGTGTGAAGCTGGCATCCTCAAAATGCGAATTGTTACAAAATTAGTATTATCGCAATTTGACACATCGCAGTTGGACCATATATTTTGTCCATAAATAATTATACTGCCTATAAATAATTATTTTCTGTCCGCTCAGTGAAAAAGAGTTATAACAAACAAAACATTGGAGCAAATTTCATCTGAGCACTTTTAAGTGTTTTTTGACGAATGGACAAAAAAAATAACAATTTACAGACAGACGTAAACAAATTGTGGATCGAATTTCGTATATAATTTTTAAAAAATACATTTAGGGATGCTCGTAATGAAATTTGCTCCAATTCTTTGTTTGTATTTTTATTTTTCGTTGAGTGGACAAAAAACAATTATTTATAAATAAATTGTGGACAATCAATTGCGATACTAATTTTAGTAAAAATTCGAAATTTGAAGTTCACAAACTTAATATTTCTGTAATGAAATAAAAAATCGTTGATAATAGACATCAGATATTACTTCTTTATCTTTCGTTTTGTCAGAATAAACCAATTCACCGATTTTTCCCTCTTTTCCCCGATTTAACGCGGACACAATACTATTCTTGTAACAAAAAAAGAAAAGTATAATTTTTCAGGATGTATTTTCAGCTTTGCGTTCGATACATATAGATATAATAAAAATCATTTAACGAATTTCACTACGAAACAGAGTTGGAGCAATTTCATTCCAATTTACGGCATATCCCAGATGTATCGCTATTGCAGGAAGCGCGAAATATCATCGCGAATGCGAAACGAAGCGTTAATATCACAAATAATCGTAAGGTAATCCGAGACTGGAGATTATTTAACCGTTATAAATATCGAGCTCTAATCCGATCCCTGTGACTGATAATTAATGTATTCCTCGGTTCTCACAGGCGTATCGCGTTCTCGATTTCACGGAGGGGGAAATGAAATAAAAACCGCATGTCGTGTCGGGGCTAAAATACACGGGCGGGGAAAATCAAGAAAATAGCGTGACCTGTATTAACACCGTATGAATTAGAGGGGATTTAACAAACATTACTTTTGCCGGAGTCGTTAGGTCGCACGATATCACGCTGTACCGAAGGCTGCTTTTGCATTTCGAGCCGCGGCCGAGCATGAAATCAATTATCGTCGTCGTCGTCGTCGTCGTCGTCGTCGTCATCGTCGTCGTTGGAGACCCGACCTTTTTCCCCGATATTTATTTAGCATTAAAGCGCGATCGCCGTTATCTCCGCGGAGTCGCGCTCTAACCGGTGGTCGTAAATCAGGGGAGGAAACCCTGGCTGCGGCATCTCCGATGGTAATGAATCGCAGAGAGTCGCCCGATGGCGAGAACGCATTGTAGCCTCGAGTTTCCACGCACCGTCGATGCGACGTATGAATTTCAAGGGAATTAATGGCGCCGGATTATATCTCGTAATCGCGTATCTATCACGCGGACGACGTGCCCTCCCCGCGGACCCTCACCGTCGACCGATTTGAACAAAGGGAACCGAGAGACCCCGGCATTCAACTACTATTAAAATGTAATTATTGATGAAGCATTTAGTCCTTGTTATAAGCGGATCGATTGTCATCAAAAAAGTTCGAAAAACAAATGTACGAATATTAGCGGTTTTGAGAAAAATGGTTATGAAAATTTGAATTCTTGTATTTGTCACAATATCACAAGAAAGAGAAAGAGAAAGGTTTTAAAAATTATTACTTAACTCTTAGATAATACAAATTGTGGAATAAAAGAAATATAAATACTTAATTAATTAATTTCTTTATATTTTTTTGTGGAATTTTTCTCTATTTTCAAGTAAATTCTGTAACTAATTTAATGTGAGATATCTATTACTTTTTTTCATGCAACAAATTTACATATTTATGTCATGATAAATTTACTTAGCTTAAAGATCAGGATCAAGCATAATGGACAAAAATGTCCTTAGAGGATTCGAAGGATGATTTAAGAATAATATAAATTCGTCTACGTTTTCGAAAGATCTCTCCGTTTTAAATGCCAATAGCGCACACACAGAATTGGAGACGTGGAGTGACGCAAGAAAATGTAATTAATAATTTCTAGAGAAAAGTTAATTCGACATACCCCGACAACCAGTGAATAATGCAATAAATTAAATTGCGGTTTGCTCGTAATCGTGGGCCGAGTAAAGAGATCGTTAGGAATTTTAAGCAAGATAAGAGCATTTCTGTATCCAACATAACGCTTGCGTATCTAATTAAATTGTGCGATCATCGGTTACATTCGAGAGATTAAGTCTAGAGCGGAATTTAGCTTCATAGCTTCGAATGATGAAATTACTACCTTTGAAATTAGCCTATTTGAAAATTTAATAAATTTTGTTAATTCACAATTACACAATAAATCGTTTTACACGAGATAAAACTGCCGTTTCTAAACTTATTCAATTGCAGCAAGTCAGTTTAAATAGATTCTTTAAAATAGAAATAACAATTTTAATTTTAACTAAAAACTAATTACAAATAAAACTAGCCAGTGTACTTATTTATTAAAATTAATTAAAAATTTTAATAAATACACCAAGTACCTTTATGAATTAATTGTAAAATTATTCTCATTGTGATTTCCGGCAAGACTCAATATTTTCTTTTACCACTCTTGTATTCAATATTAATATCGATAAACATCAATGTTAATCATTAATGTTGTCTTTCCTCGCGCATTATTTTACCGTGAATGAAAATTCAGATGTTGCGAACGCGTAGCGCCTTGTTAGAAGAGGAAATTCTTTTATTCAACAAGTAAGTAACCCCCTTTCCGTCTTGCACACTCTGTTGTGAATTACAAGGGCCCTCCTTATGAAATTCACTCGTCGTCTCCGCGATGCGACGTCTCCTCTCCATTCATACGTGTCCAGAATCATTGACCGCAACCGCAACTACGTGACGGGATGATGACGGCCGCGCCTTCTTGGCGCGTCGAGAACACAGAGGACGAAGGCAGGAAGAGAGAGAGAGAGAGAGAGAGAGAGAGAGAGAGAGAGAGACGAGCGCGAGAGAAGTTGTGCTTCTCCGGTGGCGGAATGCATGCCAGAATCTCGAAAGTACTCCACGTGACTCGCACGGGCTACTTCGCAAGAGCGTAGTGTGCAATTTCGCGCTGTCACGAGAGCGTATACAAACATTCAAAGAAAGGATTAGTTACTCTAATGGGCTCCTGCTCCTGCGGTTTCGGTGTGAAGCCGCACCGGCTTCAACAGCCAATAATGTCACATGTCGTGACCTCTCGGTGTTACGAGACACGTTACATTATCTGTCCACGAAGAAAAACAGGAGAGCGCAGTCTCAAGAGGATTCTCCTCGTATGTGAAATGCTTGGAGGAAAATATTTCTCGATACTAATGTGTGTGCTTTTCACGATTACTTTTCTTTCAGAAATGAACAAAAGTCTTTTTGTACTTTTTCAAGGTGCAATTTTAAAAAATTGTATAATTTATTATAATTAATGATCAATTAATTTCCAATACATTGCATTCTGAGTAAAGGAAAATCCTCAATTCTTAGACATTAACTTATAATACAAGTGATAATTGAAGTGCTTATCGATCGATTCGGCATAGCCATGTTAATTAAGAATCAGAAACTTACGATGGCTTGTTGATCGACCCCATTCGGGGGCGGAGGCGGACTGAAGCTGGCCGCGGTCTGCGCACCAGGAGCGGCGGGATGGGGTGCACCCGCCGCGGGCGGCACCTGGGGCCCGCCGGTCGGGGGTGGTTGCTGGGGTGCACCGGCATTATCGTCCTTTACCGACACTGGTGGTGGTGGCTTAACGTCACCGGCTGCTCCGGCCGCCCCCACAACACCCGCAACCCGTTTACCGGAGGAGGGAAGACACCCCCACCATAGGGCGCAGCCATCCCTGTCTGCACCATATGCTAAAAAAGAAAATACAATTTCTTATAAGTTTTTATGCTTAATCGTACAAGAAAATTATCATGTATGTGTGTTACGGGAGATTAAAGAACATAAATACTAAGAAATATAATATAAAAGTTTAATCGCTCGACAAAAGTCTGGAATAATCATGCGTGAGATCTTTTTATAGATTCGCGAGATTAATACGCGCAACTTCATTAATTTATATTTCTTATTAGACATTACTTTTGTTAATGAATAAACTAAATAGATATATAGATCAATGTTAATGCAAGTTATAATTCCAAGTTGAGAAGTGAAAATTGATAGTTACTAATTTCGCGCGCATCAAACTTCCTGATCTAAAAATCAAATATTTACTTTCATAATTTATAATTCTTAAATTGACTTAATTACCCGAGATTAGATTTGTGATGTAATTATTTTATTATATTATAATGATATTATCGTATTATATTATAATGATATCGTAATAAATTAATGTTTTAATTATTCAAAGAAATTAGCTGTCTTCTCATTGATCCCATAATTTTTAATAAAATCAGTACCGTTTATAAGTCACAGTAATTTGAATGAAGATGAATGAAGATTTTCAAAACTAACATACATATTTAACTCATTAACTTTCATTAACATTCAAATATCCTTCCGTTTTTCATTCACGAGACAAAAAAAATATTTCTGCTATTGCAACATTCGGTTCAGTTTTTTCATCTCTCTGAGATTGTTAAAGCTGAAGTATAATGGCGAAAATGACGTTGCCAATTTTTCGTGCAATGGCGAACTATTCACCGCAGGCAATCGTACTAGTAGAAAGATTTCTGGCAATGTTCCATTGAAACGTCGTGGTGAGCTACGATTGGTTGAATAATACCTCAGAGTGATCCTTGCGGTAAGGATGACATTTTTATCCCAAAAGAGTGAGGAAATTAAGCCTTTCCGTCTAAAGAAAAACTTTAACTCGATTGTCTTATATAAAACTCATAAATATTTCAGACAGAGAAAATAGCTTCCTCTTAATAATATTTCAATCAAATATGAATTGAGAAAATTGAGTATCCTTAGATACTTAAATTGTAATTCGATATAATACATAGATGTTGAAAAAAGGAAGAATTATAAAATATAAATGTCATATAAATTTATAATCTTTATATTAGGTTACCATTTTTCCTCGTTCATGAAAATAATTAAATTTTGAATTGTGTAAAAATGATCGATTTTAATTAAAGGAAATAATATTCTTTTTGACAGTTAGGCACAGAATCGTCAATGTTCCGCTAGACTTTTTGGTCTCGCGGCAAGGCGGCCAAGGAGTTTAAGTAAAGGAGCACAATTTTGTAGAACGTAAAGGGCGGAGAAGAATCCGCGAGACGGCAAACGATTTACTATGGACAGCAGAGGGTAACTATAATTTATGGTTCGCCCCCGGGTCGTGCCATCCACAATCTCGCGCGTGGCAGGTTACAGATGGTTTGTCCAGTTCTCCCTTCTCCCCAGATTATTTCTGGACGCCACCCCCTCGACCTCGCTTCGCCACGAGAGCAAAGAGCCATTTGTTATTCCTACCTTGAACATTTTTCTGAAAACTCGATTTAGATCGGATTTCGCCGATACGAATCGGCCGGGCGCGCGAACATAGATGAAGCTTCGCGAGGAAGAGCTCCGTGCTCTTTGTTAAGTCTGAGAAATGAAGGTTTCGGTCTCAGCAATTACGGAAGATCCGACGGCAACAAAGTGTCGCGATTCAGATGATTTCTCACGCCTGATTACGATAGCATCGGTCTGTGATAAATTAGCAGCAGGCGTTTATATGAAAATGTCAGGAGCGAGAGATGCGCAAGAACAGAAGTATAATTTATCATTTTATAATGCTCAACTTTATTTAGATAATGAGATATGTGTACTATAAATAATGTATATTTGTTAATATAACAACAAATGATAATATATAATATATATTTGTATATTTTTTTTCGTGCGTGTGCAGAACATTATTGCCTCTTTATTTTATACGTGCAATTAACATTGCAATATTTAAAGCGCATAATTATTTACAATTACATTTCACATGATAAATCTGATTTCATATTTAAAAAGAGACTTTATATTTTTTTAAATGGGGAATTTTTCGCAGTTTGTGGCAATTTCATTTACAGTTGAAACCATATACACACGAGATACGAGATATTCAATCGTCTTTTACATTTTGTAACATAAAGCCAATTTTTTTTCCATTCGTGATTCAATTATATAGATACTCGTACACGAGGCAAGTAAAACCCTAACAAAAACTGGCGAAGGAAACAGTTAGAAAGAACTTTTGAAAATCCAAACACGATCGGCAACAAGAAAATCTAACGAAAAAAAAAAAGAAGCGCAACGAGTAAGAAGGAAGAGAAATAATTCACAAGAAGTATACATTGTTCAAGAGACAATCAAAAGGAAAGGATACGCGGATAACGGTGTATTTCACATGGAAAGGAATCCCTTTAGAAAAGCCTCGCGGCGAATGGGAGCAGAAACTAAGCTAACTTTGACCGAGAAAAGTCGCCTCTGGCTCAACGCATCACATTCTCCTTTTACTATTCCCCGGCTTTCTATTCCGCGAGCGTAGCTTAATCAACGAAAGGGACAGGACGGATAAGGAAAAGGAGAGCGCGCACACGGTGGAAAACGTGATCCCGGACCGACCTAATTTTCCCTCGCTGGCACGGGAAATATGTCTTCCGATTGGCCGGGAAAGCCACAGCTCCGCGAGACTCTTCGTCCTCTTCGTTCCTGATCACGAAGCTAAAGAAGAACGGCGAGGATTAAAAACGCATTAATCTAGTCGGCGAGTGCGGACTTAACTTTCCAACCGCTAGCCGTCCCGTTAATTAATTTTTTCTCTAATTCACGCAGAACTGACGCGACCGCGGGGAAGAATAAGAGAAAATCCTGGCATGAATTTTGGCTTTGTTATATAATCGAACGTACGTCGCAATAGCTGCCGGAAGTTGGAATGTGCGGTACGTTAAAATTAAACCCGTCACGTTAAATCGAATCAAATTTAAGTCACGTTCATAGACGGAGCTGGAGAGATTCCCTCCCTCTCCCTCTCTCTCTCTCTCTCTCTTTGCTGTGTATCTAAAATATCACGATAAAATCATGCATATAGAGACGATTGAATTATCATGCAACCATGAATTAAATAATTAAAAAAAAATTTCCTTCTCTAAGTGTCAAAGATTTATTCGAAATCGTAAATATCTGATAATATTTACGACGAGAAAAGCGAAGAGTTTCTTCGAGAAACAATTGTTACTCGCGTATCTTCTCCGAGATAAAATTCTCGATCCCATTTTAGTGGACGGTTCGTCGTTCTCGCTCGGTCAACGACGGTCTAACAGTTCTTTGTCGTCTGCTTCTTCTTTCTCCCTTTTTTTTTTTACGATCGTGAGCAAAGCGAGATTTCCCGCGTGCGGTAGTACATACAAGGGGCCATTCAGAGCATGCTTCCCCTTCGATGTCAGCAGAGCGTGTCGCCACGGCGAGCTGGGCCTTACGACGATCGCGTGCGCGGGCACGGGGGGAACGGTAATGAAAAAAATTTTAATGACGCCACGCTAATTCGATCAGCTATCTCGGGCGTAAAGAATGAATGACGAAACCGCCCGTTGTGCTCTCGTTTCTACGTTACCGCATTCGCCTTGCTTAATTGGACAATTCGAGGCAAATGATTATTCGAACGTTGTGCGAATTGCCGATTCATCTTCTCGTTTGGTTCACACGACTAACATGGCGATCGTTAACTTTAATTTAAACCATCAAATTATTATTCAACTATGAATATCGCAATGAATACTGCAAGCAGTGCTTGAGACGCAAAGTTAGATATTGAAACTAAATTTAGATTATAAAAAATGAACGTTTCGCGAGAAATTCATGTAGCGTATTTCGATTTAAAAAAAAGACAAATAATGCATGAATTATACAGAAAAAAATCTTAAGATAAATCAAGACAGATATTCTTATATAAAAACAAGAATGTTATATATAATCTTTGTACAAATTTTAGTCTTCATTTGATTGAATTTGTATTGCAAGTATTATTTTTATTCAGCTCAAGATTAAAATTCTCTTATATAAAAATTATAATATTCTTACTTTTATATATATGATATGAGAATATCTATATTTATCTATATACCTATATTTGCACCAAGACAAATTCAATCAAATCAAGATTACAAATTTTCCTAAGATTATAATATTCTTGCTTACACATAAGAATACATGATCTTGACTCTGTACTAATTTTTTTTCTCCTTACGTACACATAGCTTCGAAGTAAACTTTAATTTTTTTTTTTAGTTTTTAGAAATTTAAGAAAATGCAGAGTTTGAAAAATTAGTATTTTGAAAAATCAATTCTCTCTCTAAAAATATATTTAACTGGTGTAAGAAAAATAAGATCTTATGACAAAAATACAAGATAAATAAGATCGGATTACACGATACAGTTTGCCCTTTGATTTTCGAGATCCCGTACACCGCAGGATTGGCAAGGATAATCGTAACAACATGGAATATCCACGTAGATCGCTTGTTACATCTCACGTTACGAAGATCTAAATTAGGATGAGGTATGGAAATCCGAGTTATCTCTATGTATAGTCCTCCGAGCCTCAGATCGATTCATGGGGAATCTGTGTGTCAGACCAACGACCTATTTCGAGAGTGCCATCGATCAAACAAAATGGCACTTTTCGCATGTGCGACAGTGTCTGTCTTATCGACTAAAATCGCAGGGGTAAAATTGGGAGACGAGTAACCGGCAAACTAGGGAACTGGCTTGTCGATCTGCGTGGAGGATCAACGTTATCGGAATTGGCAGTAGAGAAAAAGCGAGTGCGATAGCGACGGGGAAGGAGGCTGTGCCACGGAGGATCCGCGGGGAGATGCGCGAATCGGAGGCGGAATTGTCTGCGCCAATCGTCGTCTCGCGCGCCAAGTTTCGCGCAGCACAAACTCCTCAATTTTGCAAACGGGCGCGCGAGATAAATGCGGACACGGAAGGCGTTTCGAGGAAGGAGAGGAGTGAATCAACTCGCTTAATTAAAAAAACATACAACTGGGTCAGCAACGTGGGACTCCGCTTTTTAAACTTAATTCCCGCAGAACCGCTGTTTTACGAATTAAGCCATTTTCGCGTGGCATCAAATATGTAAACGACACCGCGGTTGCAGTTTCGCATATGTATAACTGCAAAATGGATACGTTTTTTGTAATTCCGCGTGATACTCGAGATAATGGCGTGGGTCGGGAAACAGCTTATTCGCGGCATTACTATTCGTAACTGTGATCAGAATGCATCGCGTTTGAAATGCAAAAGCGGGCATCGCGATGCTATATACCAGCCGAAAAGGACGATGCCCTACGGGAAAATCAAGAAAGGCATATTCTCCACGGCAAAAAAAATAGGAACAATGTGATTTTTTTCTTGTTTTTAGAAATACGCATCTATTCATCTGAATATTTGCGTATGCTTTTTCATGTCAAGATTAATGGAATTCGATTAGTAGATGACTAGATTTTCTTCTCCTGCTACTAGCCTTTTTTACATGAATTTATTTTTACATGATCTTATTATATCTATATCTTTGTATCTATAAATAAAAGATAAAATACTAGAAGAAAGAAGAAGAGATGTAAGATAATGATGGTTCAATTCAGAACAGTTGATTTAAAAAGAAATATACGTGTTTAAGAAAGGGAACCTAATGAACGAGCAACGAATCAAAGATTTTGCTTTCTCACGCTGACTCGCGTAAACGCATATAAGATACTTTCTCTATCCATAGACACTTAACTTTCCTTTGTATTTGCTTAACGCTCGAACGAACGGAGACTACATTTTCTTCCACTACTGTAATTAGATTTATTACTAAATATTAAAATTCAAATTCAAATTACAATTAAAAAAAAAAACCCGCAGATACTTGTCCTAAATAAAATAAGAATGCAATTAGATATAATCAGATGATAAAAAAAATCTAAGATATAATTAAAACTTTGTAAATGTAAACGGCGTAACGTAACGAGCATAGAACAAAGATGCCTTTCAACATCATAACATAAAGTTGTTAAATCACCGCTGCTTCGCAATGCTTTTCCGCAAAGTCGCGCAATTGCCATTACGTCGTATCCAGAAAACGAGCGATAATAATTTCAGATATACGCATGCACACCAACGTACAACGTCGCGCAAGAGGAACGCAATCGCAATTTAATGCATCGAGCTTGCGTTTCGAGTGCTTTCACGAGTCTGTCGACACCAGGGCAGCTTTAAGCTTCCGCGACAACGGTTTGCCCTTGAAGTATTAGGATCTGAAAATCGCGCGCGCCACCCTTCCTCATCCTTTCGATGTTTTGACGCCAGCAAAGCGAACGAGCCGCCAAGAATAAACCTGAAATCAATAGCGAACGCGCGGCTCGACCGAGAGAGAGAGAACGAGACCGGGAGGAAGGCAGAAAAGCGAAAATAGAACGGGACAGAGAGAGAGAGAAAGCGAACAATGGCGAGAAATTTTAGACCGGCCGAGGTTAAAGCAACATCCGATATATCCTTTACCTTGTCGATAAATTTTTTCGTTCTACGATCGTTACGATCTTGTTTGACAAAGATAATAGAAATCTACTAAGAATATATGTCTTTATTACGTCGTTCAATTCCCTCCCGGAATTGACAAGCAAGCGCTTCAAACGGTATCGACAGAGGGTAAAAATTTTTCTTCTTTGCTTCGACGTTTAATTTACTTTGTGATATCTTTGACATTGCACTGAAATGACAATATTATTATTATCATCACGATTATTAAAAATATCGATCTTTATAAAAATGTCGATCTTGTTTAATTACTTATCACACATCAAATCTTGTTTGCATTAAAACTTTAAAATGAAGGGTGCTTTTATCTTTAAAAATTATCAAATTGACGCTCTCGGAGAGAGAAGAGAGAATTCGCGATCTCCGGAAGTACATCTTCAACTCCGACAAAATCGTGACGACGACTCGGCCAATTGCAATCGGTGTGATGCGATGTGATGCGGTTGCAGTCCGAGATCGCTTTCATTCTCATTCCTATCTGCCTCCCCGCCTTCTCGCGCGATCGCTCTCTTCCTCATTCCCCTTCGCTCGCTCCGAGTTAAATACTCTAATTCGCGTTAATGGATGGCCCGTTGCCCAGTGGATCGTTTCTAAAGAGCCTCTTCCCGGTCGGGACGGAACGCGTCGTTCAGCGGAGCGCGTTCACACCGCTCCGGACCACTTGGGCCCTTGTAACAAAGCGTCGCTTATAACGGGCCCTGTATTTCTGAGATCGGCATCTAACCGCCGGGAGGAAATCGCCCATTTGATGGGAGTGCCTCGCCTAGCGATCTTACATAGCTGCCGGCAGTCAATATATACAATACACGTACACGACGGGGGATAAAAGTCGCTAGGGTCTACGTGGTAATTACATCCGCCATCGATCGTCGACATCGATCGGCTCTTCCGTCACGTAACGAGACGTTACATAAGCAGCATCGCGCGTGTCTCTCTTTTGCCACGGCAAATCCATCCGTTTAAATCTATAAATCCGTCTCGTTTACTGATCGACTCGGAAACTCGAGTGAAATCGGCGTGTCATTTTAAAAATATAAATTATTGCATGTGAAAGAGAGAGAGGAGGGGGGGGGAGGAAAGAGTTTTGAATTTATTTTTAATAGTTCATAATTCTATATTCATAATTCTATATAGATTAAACTTAAAAAGAAAATATCTGACCATTACGGAAACTGCTACAAAATAAAACTGGCATTAGGTTCAGTGACTAAAAAATATCAAGATATTTCGAGTTTTGCAGTATAAAAACTATTTAAAAAATTAATATTTATAGTTGAAATTCTTTATAAAATATTTAAATACGTTCAGAAAGGCACGAAACTATTTTGAAAGACAGAGAGCTCTTGAAGACCGACCGGGGTCTTACATACATGTCTATAAATACATCTTTCTCAAACGATAAAAATAGTTTAAAAAAAAACAAATACTGATCGTTAAACTTTTCTGAACTCATGTAGAATTACAAATTCCTTAAAATTCGGTAATAAACATCAAAATTTATCCAGAACAAACTATTCATTTAATCTACATAGAATTATAAAAAAACGCTAAATCTCTTGATAGTTTATAAATTTCCATAAAATAATCACGTCAACTTCGCATGCATCAAAAACCGGCACAGATTTATCCGACAACGCAATCTATTACTTTGCACGATAAGCCGGTTAATTATATTAATTACCATTGTATCTAGTAGGTCAGGTAGATAAATAGACTATTCTCGGCGAGACATGAACTGTTTCGACCAAAAAAAAAAAAAAAAAATTATTGCACATTATTTGCTACATCAGATCGTTCTCATGTTCACGAACTTACGCCTGCCGTTGCATATTCTCGTTGGATGATCCTTATCTCGCACGGCAACAACGTTAACAAACGATAAGGAACCCATCTGTGAATCAGAGCGAACCGATCTACGTTACGTGATAACGATCGGCAAGCGTCCTGCCTTGACGCAACGTCACGGTCGAATGATCACAGAGAGCACTCGTGTTTATCTGTTCACAAATGACGATTTCAAAGGGAATTCGGTCTATTTTGTCAGACACTGAACGCGTTCCGACCTTCAGCTCTGTCCACCTCCAGCATGTAAATTTTCTCACGCACGTGAAACGCCCTCGATAGCCACCGCGCCGCTTCCTTTCCGTAAAGCGTTTTCGCTATTTTCGTCAAAAAACACAGCAGGGAAATTAAAACGGTACGCGAGAATTTGGCGTACGTCCATCGAGCCGAGAGTATTTTATCCGTCGAAAAAAAAAAAAAAAAAAAAAATACTGCAAAGATGTGAACAAAGTTAAATGAGCACTATGCTCACAACGTTTTACGATCGCTAAACTGTGTTTATCTACATATCCAAGATTCTGGCAGAAATTTTTATGCGCCATTGGGTTTTTTTAGT